CACTTTGCAATAGAAAATTTGGCCTGTTTGAGCCACTGGACTGGTTCACGGTCATGCATGAAGAGGCGCAAGCTGAGATGTTAAAATATAGCTTGTGACATGACGTCAGTGAGAGGTCTTTAAACCTCAGCTTTAGTTTTATAATATTCAGAAATGTTGCAGCTAACTGTATATAAAGGAGTCTCTTAGGAAAGTGTGTTTTTCTTTGTGCTCGGGCTAAAAAAAAAAAAAAAAAAAGCCTCAACAAACTTTCCATGTAGTTTCTGGGTGATTTTTTGACTGCCCTGAAGTCACTGGGCACCTTGCCATCACCTTCAGTGGGGCCAGGATTTCATCTTTTAGCAGCAAAATTTGATCTGTTGATCTATAGTGCTAGAAGCCTGGAAAACTTCAGCCTCAAATGTGGTATTTGGGAAAGAAGGCTGTGGATTGAATGAAATTTTTGAAGTTTGGCGTGTGTAAACAGTCAGTTTCAGAGCAGTCTCCAGGAATGTTAAGCAATGGATGGCCCTATAAGCATAACCTAGATAGTAAACGCATCTTTGAAGCTCCTCTTAAGAGGAATCGTCTCTGTGGCGCTCATGGGGCTCTTTGGCAGGTCAGTCTGCAAACCTGGGATTGCAGCAAGCTTGTGCAAATACTACACCTGGACCGAAAGTCTTTTCCTTTTGATCCTGCAGGGCAAAATGGATGTACAGTGTCAAAAGTTCAACAAGCTCTTGAAGAACAATGTGTGTGAGACCTTGAAAGTTAATGCTAAAACATCATGCTTGATCTGCTGGACAACGGTCAGCCAGAAGGGTAAAGCAACAAGAAAAATGCAGGCACCAGGGTCCAGCTGAGTTTGCCCACAGAAATACTGTGTTGCCTCACTCTGTTAAGGACACACAGAGCTGCTCAGCCTTGCAGGAAGTTGCTTGCAGCTCTGCAGACCTTACATGATGCATAGGCTAATCCTATGTTTGGTCCCATTTCTGGTTGTTGCTGCTGTATCCCAGCATCTCACTGAATTTTAAAGGAAATAACAGAGCTTGCTGGTTTCTTCCATCCATAGTTGCGTGGAGAATGGCTACAGACTCTCTCCTCCTTGGCCACCCTGCTTTCTGGCAGTGTTCAGCAACATTCCCGGTGGTCAGATGTGTGCAGTGCTAGATGAAGCTGCCTTCTGCTCGGTGCACTGTTGTCTTGGAAGCAGGGCACAGGCGCGGGGTGTGCATGCAGCAAGGAACAGTTCCAGCTCCCAGCATGTCACAGACCTCCTGGAAGGCTTCTTGGGGAAGCAAAAGCCCTTGTGTAGTGAGGGTCACTTGCCAGAGTAGTTGTCTTTGTCAGAATAAAAAAACAGAGTAGGTTTCCAGTGTGCTGCTCCTCCTCCTGCCTCTCTCTATTAGTTTTCTGCAGCTTTATATGAATATCCCTCCACTGTTTTGAATAGCTGGGTGAGATGGGGTTAATTTCTGGGGTCAATATGTGTACTATGATCTGCAAACAGTGGTGTCCCCAGGGCTACAAGTGGGATGGTGGGACTGCTTCCCTCCCCCTGCCCAGGGGTTTGCTAATGCTCAGCTCGGGCTCAACCCAAACCATGCAGCAACTGGTTCTGCTGTTCTGAAGCTGGAATCACGGCACACGTGGAAAATCTCTCGTTTATCACACACCAGGGTTACTTTATGAGATCTAAAGCTCTCTGTCTTGTTATCAGGTGTTACTCAGAAAATCCTGAGGCAGCTGATCCCTTTTCTATCCTACTGCCAACTAGAGGGTTTCTTTGTGTCAGGACAGCCTTGGAGATGATCCAAGGTCTTCTGGATCCAGCTGTACCACGCTGCTTAGAGCTCTGTGTGTGTGTGTGTGTGTGTAGAACTGTTGGAGAGGCTGGTTGGATTAGGACCCTTCAGTCACAATGCTCTGGACTAGTTTTAACAAGCTAAACTCTTTGCTAACTTGGTTCCTTTTGAGTAAGGAAACTCTCCTAAGAATATTTCCACCAGGAGCTACAGGATGCCCATGTGCTTAATGGAGAAGTATCAAACCCCGCTCCAGGGATTTAGGTGGTTGCTGCCTTTCCAGGATGTTGCTATCCTTTCAACTTTTTGCAAGCAAAGGGGTGTATAGGACCATGTGAAACCAAAATAGGTGCTTCATTTATTTGTGTTTTTTTTGTTGTTGTTGTTCAGAAGAAGAACGGATAAGCAGGGTGCTTCAACAGCCTTTCTTCACTGCATGTTTACTGAAAGCAAAAAAGTATGCATTGATTATCCTGTGGTATAACCTCCCAGCAAGGCAAACAAGGCTTGACCCTGGGATTAGAGAGCCACAGGGCGGTAACGAAGACGTTTCCCTCTGCACACAGTGTCCTTCAGTGGAGAGTTGCTTTACTTGTACCACACAGAGGAAGGATTTACTCTGCTCTGGCTAATGTGTAATTGCACCTTCAATACAACCTTCTACCCCAGCTGTTTGCTTGCCCGTGTTGGTGTGCGAAATGCAGAATGCTACCAGGCTGCTTGGGGAAAAAAAAAAAAAGGCAGTATTTGTGCTTATTTCTAGCCATTCAGAGCTTGGTGCAGCCACATGTCTGCCAGCAAAGTTAATAGCTAAATTCTCTGCACATCTTTGAGCACTTCAACCGTGTTGTTTTTCCCTTTTTAGACAGTCATTTTCCAAATATAACAGAGCAAGGCCCTACTGGGATTAAAATGCAAATGAGAGTAAGATGCAACAGCAAAGGAATAATTTGCTTTAATTCCCCGGTGCAAACATTCCAGTTATGAGATTTAAATTAATTGTACCCGTCATTTTGTCATCGCAAATGTTTCTGTTTGGGCTGTCGATTAAAATCCTGCAGCAGGGGAGCCGCGGTGTCGCTGCTCGGTTTATTTTGTGATGCAGAGGGGTGCAGCGTTGCCAGCCGCGTTGCTCTGCGCACCAGGCCGCGTGCACGGGTCTGGGGCTGTTTTGGAGCTTCATTGGTGCCACAGTGTGGGTTATTTCATGCCGTTATGAATTCCTGTGTCCGCCTGGCCTCGGTGCTATCGTGGCTGTGACAAGGGATGGGAATCTGCCGTGTTGGGCCTGTCTGCCCTTTGCTCACACACAGGGACGGTGCCCACAGTCCCTGCCTGTCTCCTCCCACAGGAACAGTGTGCTGGGCACGTTTGGCTGCCCTTAATTAGAGCCTGTAGCATAAATATCAGCAGTTATTCCCAGGTGGTCCCATGGATAAACGCAGAGGAATGGGTTTTGCAGCAGCCGGGTCACACATAGCGGTGAGGGGACTTGGTGCAGGGATGATGAGGCTCGTCCTGCCCTCGGCTGACAGGAGCTGCACATGGGTCGTCAGGATGATTGCAGCTGTTTGGGGTCTAGCATGAAAGATTTTGTTGAATTGCAACCTCTTTCCAAATAGTAATCCATGCTGCTATGGATTGAGCTGTAGTTAAGATGAAGTGTGAGGTTTATTTATTTGTTTTTAAATTGTTTCCCAATTTAAAATTCTTTAATTGACTTTAAAAGACTCAGTGGAGGAAGATACTGATAAAATATTGATACTGATGAGAATTATAAGTAATAATTTTTACTTTAGGCTGTAATAAAAAAAAAAAACATAGAAGGAAGCCTTGCATGGAAGACTACAAATTCTTCCCAAATACCAAAATAGCCCACTGAGAATAGGAAGAAATGCTTTCCCTCCTCAGGGGAGCCCAGTTGATGGTTTTTTCTTTTGTGTGTATTTTTTTTCTTTATTTTTAGGAAAAGGAAAACGCACAATCTGCTGACATTAGTTGCTTGCATTTGCCAGTTTTTGTGATCTTATTTAAAGAACAGTGTTTGTCAAACCTTAGGCTTCAGTTAGGTGGGAAAATGTTAGGCCATTTGATTTAAAGAAAAAAAGTGTATAAAGATGTATTTTGGAAATGTTATGGAAAGCTTTGCTAAGTTCAGAATCGGGGACAATGGGGGTGGGGGAGAGGAAGAGCTTCAAATTCTGGCTGGTTTCGCTCCCCTTCCCCCTGCCTGGCACTTTCAGCGCTCCAGAGCTGAGCTGAGGCTGCAGTAGCTGCCGCTTGTTTCCACGGAGAGCTGCGGAAGGGATGTGAGTCAGGTACAAAGGTTTTGCAGTTTTAATCAATTTAGTCGCCACTTGCCAACAAATTGAAACTGTCCTCGATTGTGACTGATCTCTGGTGTGGTGCTGCTTCCCGCTCCGGGATCTGGTGTGAAGCTGCTCTGCTAGTTTTCCCTGCAGAGGAAATTCTTCAATGTTACGTTAGACTCAAGCGTTTTGGCAGGAGGAAAGAGCTTCGCTTCCCAACCTAAGGTTGTTGCTGGTTCTGTGCCCACTTCCCTATCCCACTCTCTGTGGGGTCTTTCCCTTTGCCCTCCCCATTCCCCTCTTGCGCTAAGGTTGTGCCTAGCTCCAATTTTGTGTTGAGCTAAGAAAATGCAGCCTGTTCTGTAAAGTCCCACTCCTTTCATGTGGGTCCCAGGTCCTACATGCCGATGACTGAGCTGCAAGGATACCTGCAGCTCATGAAGTCCATCCAGACTGTTCTGTGACCAAATTCTGCAGCTCATCACACCGTGATTCTGACACCCATGTGTAAAGATCTTCTGTTCCTTTTAAGTTTACTCAGTTGTATAGGAAGAAATAAAAGGTAGTAATAAAACACCATCTTGCAGAGACTTTGCAACAGGATCTTTAAAAGTTTGCATAAAGCTTAAACGACATTTTGTAAAGCACTGTTTCTGCACACCAAATTAGCATGGATGGGTAAGCTGTGACTCGTTTTCTGAACCTTAGGTTATCTTTTCCAAAAATGGACTGAATACTGTTCTATGGGAGATTAAGGAATGAGTAGAGAGCTGAGGGTGCAGGAGAAAGTCTCCCTGTGTCATCTGTGGTGCCCAGTGTGCGGTTTTCCCACAGAAAAGCACCCTCTGGTCCTCCTTTGCTGCTTGGGAGTCTTGGTGCTCCCATAGACTAATGCCTGGCAGAGATGCCGCACGGCATGGACCTGGCTCCCTTGGGATCTGTGGTTGCAGAGCAAGGGAAGCGGCTCTCCCTCTCCGGGCAGGGAGGTGGGACAGTGCCCAAGCTCTCCCGTGGTATCCGTCCGGATTCCTATGAAACCAGGGCAGGGAGGGCACACGGCTGGCTTTTCCTCCAGCCACCCAGGGAGCTGCTACTTCAGGCAGGAGGAGGTTCGAGCGGGCGCGGCGATCCCGGCACGGTTTAGCAAAGCAAACAGGGCCAAAGTGCCCGAGCTCAGAGCTGGGACGAGGAGGCGGCAGCTCAATGTGCTGCGGGGCCGGCCAGCTGAGAACAACTGCCCGGGCGCAGGTAGGGACAGAGCGGCGGGGGGGCCCCCCAGCACCACCAATGCTCTAAAAATAATAGTAATGCCCTAGGGGAATAACTTTCCAGGCATGGGAAAATGAAGGAAACATGCTGAAAAGCTGGGGCAGTTTCTGGAGGGGAGAGCAGCGTGTGGCTGTGTGGGTGCTCCATCGGGCAGTGGGGATATCCCTGAGGATGGAAGTATCCCCAGGAAGGGGGGAATCCCTGGGTTGGAGGTATCCCTGAGGAGGAGGTATTCCCAGGAAGGGAGTATTTCCAGGGAGGGGATATCCCCAGTGTGGGGCTGTTCTGGAGGGGACTCCAGGGTGGGTATCCCAGAGATGAAGGGCAGGGTGCACCCGAGTGGGACAGCTCTGATTTCCTCCCCCTGCCTGGGTTTCTCCACCCGAAACCCGAGGTCCATGTTCAGCGTAAGCGCTGTAGGAGGTAGACCCCACGTTTGGGTGCTGTGGCACACGCTGGCGTGGGGGGACACCCCTCCGGGCCTGACGCTGCCTCCGCGCTTTGTTTGCGTACGCCTTTCCCAAGGGCATCGCCATCTTCTTCAAAGAAATCCAGGATTTCTTTGGCACCTCCTATAGTGAGATCGCGTGGGTCTCCTCCATCACGCTGGCCACGACGTACGGTGCAGGTGAGTAAGCCTGGGCACCCACTGTGCTGCCACACGTCACGTAAAGCCAGAAATTAAGGAAAAATAATGCTCTGGGGCACCTAGCTGTGGAGATGATGTGCTCTGAAGGTGCTTCTGCATTGCTTTGACCCAAGTAGGTTACTTGGCACGCAAACGGGGACACAGCATCCCCACTGCTGCGTGTTTCTGAGTGTGGTGCCTTTTCTGGTGGTGCTGGTGGTCAGGTACAAGCCCGAGGAACCAAGAGGATATAAAATAACGAGGTCCAGTTTTTGGCTAAAGGTAAGCCTGGAATAGAGCAATAAATGGAGCAGCAGAGCGATGAAATAGCCAGAGTTGATCATTCCCATTGCTTATAAAGCAGCACATGTAACTTAGCTCTTGCATTTTTGGATATTGTTTTACATCATATCCAACAATGAAAAACTGGGATGTCTGTGATAAAATCTAAAATAGGATGTAGATAGAAACCATTTTCTGTAATTGCAGGAAAATTCATTAATATTTTTCCTGACTATGCAATCAACTCCAAAAGTATTCTTGTTTTTAAAAAGAGACTTTGTTTTTTGGCTTCCTTATGAATGTGCAGTATCATGCTTTCTGGAGGGTGCAGGTGGCAGTGGAAGTTAGGATGCTGTTTGCTTTAAAAGTGTGTGGAACTGGAGTGCTTGGACCCCAGCCTGTCATAGTCCACCCTATTGCAGCCCGCTCAAAGGCTTGGTCTGCCTCAGAGCAGCTCTGCAAGGCCTTGAGCTTCTGTTAAGAGGTTGGGCTCCTTGTTTTCTTGTGGGTTCCCTGTCTTTTTGCAAAGAGGTTTAACTTCACCCTGCCTGGTGCTGCGAGGCTGCGATACGGACGATGATAGAAATGGGCACTGTTGGACTTAATTGCAGATAACCTTGTGCCTTCGTGCCTTCCCACTCACCATGCAGTTGTTCTGAGTTGTCCATTTAATAGTCCTCCCCTCCTTTTCTCTGCTCTTGAGCAAGATTTATGCTGATCTTCCCTCCCACTTGGGTGATCCCCTTGGCTTGCAGCGATGCAGAGCTGCCTAGTGACTGTGGACGAGGTGGGAGTTTACAGAACATCGAGCAATTGAAGGACAGGTGCCCAAGGGTGTAATTAGCACATCCAACATGATTGCCTGGGCATTTAACACCAGAGTGGGTTTGACATATGAACGGTTTTGAAATCCTCATTAAAGGAAGGGAACAGCAGCTCCTATGCACTTCCCAAGTCCAGCCCGGCTAAGGTGCCTGTGGAGCTGTTGTGACGCCAGCTCTGTGCAGCTTCATTTGCTCTGCTGCCACCTTAGAAAATAATTTGACAGTGTTTTTACTTGTGAACATCTTTTAGAAAATAAGGGATGCTGGAAACGCCCAAGCAAGCTTTAATGTGGTCCTGAGTAACCAGTAGCGTAGTTATCACTGCAGTTTTTCTGGGGATGCTCCGTGCCAAGACCACGGCGCAGAGTCGAACGTCCGCCCTGCGGCAGCTCTTGTCCACAAACCTCGTCCCTTTGGCATGGGCTTTGGTGCAGGGCCTTGTTCTTTGGGCTGAGCTGCTTACCGCATAACAGAGCTTTTGTTTGCATTTCATACATAATGCAGGGGAAGCTTATTTTCTGAAAACACTTCCACAAGCAAACCCAGACCTCCACTGGAGCAGCTCGGCCGGCTTGGAGAGCGTGGGTGCAGATTTGCACTGACCACCTGAGGCTTTGGCTCGTAGCACCAGAGCAGCGCCAGTTTTGCAGGAAAAAAAGGCTGCAGATTGTCAGCCAAGAATGTTTCTGCCCTTCAGGTTTGGTTGAATTCTCCTAGGAAATGATTTTACACCAGCTGAGGCTCTGGCAATATATATTGCAGAAGTTTTAATGTGTCCTATCCCCTAGTTTCTTAATCTGGGCTGCGTTGCAGAAAACAATTTTGTCACTATATTACAAGTAGTAAAACAGATTAGTGGCAGTAAAGTGAATTGCTTGGACTTTACGGCCAGGTGCTTGTAGTTTGCCAGCACTGCAACCGCCGTGTTTCCAGCTGCAGAACAAGTTGAGAGGTTTGTGAACGAGGGGCACTAGGGAACATTGCTGTTCTCTGACGAAATTCTGTGGGGTGAAACTCTGTCAATCTGATAAGGAAGGATTTCCATTTTGGAGTATTTCCACACTGTTTGTCTAGGTGTAGAGCTCTTTTCTTACCTTGAATGAGAGCAGCGCTGTGGAGCTGATTGCTATGGACTCGTGACAACTAAAGACTTGGGCACCCAAGGTCTTGCCTTGCATACAGACATTAATTTCATTCAGGCAAACGATCTTCAATATTATTGCCAGAAAATCCAAATGTGTGGCCTTGATGCCTCTTGACTTGCGCCACTTACCCGCATTGTGCCCACAATACCAGAGTTGCCTTTTTAGGGAGACGTGTCAATTTAGGCCATAGAGAAACCCAAGGAGATGACCATAACCCCAGGAAAGCAGGAGGCAGCTGAGCTCCCAAGAAAGAGGACGTAACCAATATTAATTTGCTAGTAATCTAGTTGCCTTATTCAGCACTGGGGGAAGCAGCCAAACAGTCTAAAAATAAGAAATACTGATGCTACTAATTTAATAGCAGCAATGTTCTCATAGCTGTTACAGTCTCGTCTAAGGCTCTGAGAGAGGCAAGGTTTGTGGGGAGAACTAATATCTTTTATTATAGCCAGCTGTTAGAGTCTGAAAAATGAACAGCCTTTCTGCCACATGTGCTACAATAGAGAGAATAATTTAATACCTAGGACAATATCTGCATTTTCAGGTATTTTATGATGACTCTGTGGCCAGATTGATCCTTTTCATCACTGTAATGAAATAACAGAGGCCATCTGAGTGAAGCTTGTGGACCAAATCCTGACATAGAGTCATTTCAGCCAATGAGTTTGAATATCTGTGGCTGTACTAGGAGAATTATGAGCTTTTTTCCCCTGATTTTGAAGAATTTCTCCCTTTCTTTTGCTCTGAACAGCTAGGTTGTGTGTGTGTATACAGCTAGTAGCAGTATTTGCTGCTTCCGTTGTTGATATAGAAAACATAAGATGTACAGGGAGCTTACGCTGTTTTTAATTCAATAACTTGTCTGTGTTTGGCTCTGGGTACTGTTGTTATACAGCCCTGAAGTATCCAAGATGTTGTTTTCACATCTCCAGATTTTTATTAAAATTACGGAATTGCCTTATATCTGCTTTGCTAAGACAGAAACAGCCACCTTTTGCAACACAACAAAAAACAGAATATTTTGGAAGTAAAAACCTCAGCCTGAAGCTAGCCCGTGCTTGTTATCCCTGTTATTTATTATTTATCATTTTGAAACTGGATGAAAGTCTGAAGATTTAATTCTGGAGATGCCCCACGATTGATTCATTTCTCCAAAGAAACTTTCTCCCAGCGTGTGTAACCTTTTAATGGAGTATCTGCCAAAGCAGCAAGGGAGACATTGCACCGTTCTTGGGAAGCTGTAAGTTGACAACTGACCTTGAACATTTAATCCAAGATTTTATAGCTATATTTTATGCTGTTGCTGGGATGATAAATTGCAGTGACAGGTTTAGAAAGGACCTTATAACATGCACTGACATAAAGCAGTGTTAATAATGAGTTTGATTCTGCAGTTTTTACTTAATCAAAACTGTTTATTTTCTCTCCTAGTCTTGTGCAAACCTCATCAGAATCTTCCTCTCACTTGAGAAGGCATCACAAGTGAGAAGGCATCACACAAGGCTCTCCACATGTCCCAAGTGCTTACAAACAGTTGGGAAGTACCACAGGATTATAAGGGGAAACTGAGGTGGATTTTTTGTCAAGAACATGTGGTAAATAAGAGCAGAGCTTAGGTTAGGGCTTGGGAGGTGTAACCTTTCCTCAAGCCATTTGTGGTCCTCTGGGGCACCCCTGGCCGGGTGATCTGTAGTGATGCATCATGTCTCTCTGATTAAGCGCTCACAATATTGGTTCAATCACAAGGTTTCCAGCAGGGCTACAGGCTCCCTGGCCATGTGCTTTTCCACCTAGAGATTTTTTTAGGTTGCAACAAGAGTTATTTGTTTATCCAGCATGCAGGGCAGGCAGCATCCTAGTACAGCATTGCGCCTGGTGGGCAGCCAGGCATCGTGTCCTGGGCAGATGGTCACTTGGTACCAGCTCCATGGTGCTGGTCATGGTGGCTTCATGATGCCACCTTCCCACGTGCTGTGGCCTCCCCATGGAGTCCTGCCAAGCACCAGTTTGGCTCCTTGTGTCATTGAAATGGTGATTCTTCCCATGACAGTGCAATCCTGAGTGTAGCAGCACCACTGCGATCTTGGGTTTCACCGAGAGAGCTGCGTGAAGGATTATGTGACTCCTGTAATGGATGGTGCTGCAGATTCATATACTTCTACTGGCTCTTGGAGAGCGCTCAAGTCCTGCAAGGTCACCACACATGTTCTTATATATATATATTTTTTTTAAATAGCCCTATTCTAGTTAAAAGCAATAATAGCACTGTAGGTCCAGGTGAAATATTTCTGTGTTTGTGGACTTGGTCACAAAACTTTATCATTTTGTCCTTCATCGGAGCTAGCAAGGTCACCAGGCAGGAGTAATAGAGATGTGATAGACTTAATAAAAACAGAGATTAATAAGAACTGTGGAAAAAAAAAAAAAAGGCAAAGGGTTTTGGTTGGGGGGGCGGGTTTCTAATGCTTCATGGCTGATATTAGGTCCAGAAGTAAGTTATGATCCCCTAAAGCAAGTCATATGTGAGTGTCTTAAAGCTCAGTCCAGCAGTCGGTGCAGTATGAATGTTGTGTGTTGCCACAGGAAGGAGGGTGTTTTTATGACAACCTACCTGGCAGCATCGCCATCCTTCCGCCCCTGGATGTCCCACAGCATCACTGTGACCTTTATGGTCAGGTTATGGGGGTGTCTCAGGGTATGGACAGAGCCCTTTTGTAAACATGCCCTAATTTGCTTGTGGGGCAAAGTA